CCTACTCCTGCTGCTGCTGCTGCTACTGCTGCTGCTGCTGCTCCTGCTACTGCTACTGCTACTGCTACTGCTACTACTGCTACTGCTACTGCTACTGCTACTGCTACTGCTACTGCTACTGCTGCTCATTAAGCTTGTATCTCTTCACCGTGGCAGGCGAATCGAAATGATAGCTGTGTACGAGGAAGCTGGCACCAGGCATGCTGCCGCTGTTGAAGTGACCTGAGCAGTGAAGGGATAGGCTTTTGGTCGGTAGTCGGGTGGGGAGGGAGCAAGAGAACCCAAGATTGCGTCCAGGTCATGGCCCAATTCCCGGAGCTGAGCTTGTGGAAAGAGCTGCAGGACAATTTAGAAGAGCTGAAGCAATCCTTGTGCTATAGGCGCTTGCACAACAACTAAACTGCTGGCCAGGACAAGATCCGATCACGTGTCTGGGCATCAGGCACTGCAATCTGCACATGGTGCACATGCTTTTTGATGCCCGAGCGCAGGGAACCAGTGCGGACTGGCCTTTGACCTTGCTGCAATTAGCACCTGCATGCAGCATTGACAACATAGGGATGGACATGTTGGACGATGTGAAATGAATTGCTTCGCAGCCCTGAAACTTGCGTGTGCTCCTTTAGGGGCCTGCTTTCAGCAGGTGCTGCTGCAGCGGGCAAGCGCAGCCGCAACAGCAAATGGGACGACAAGTCGGCGGCCTCCTGCGCGACTGAGTGGGGAAAGAAGTGGCGGACCATCCTTCAGGATGTGCTGCCTGGTGCTGAGGCCGCTACTCGTGCTGACAGCGACCCGGAGGTGCAGAAGCTCTGCATGGTGCTTTGGAAGGACATCGTGTCTTGGGTTGGTGAGGACTTTCTGCGGCACCTGCGTCTTTTCCAGGCCAGTGACGCAGGCCGGGCTGACGAAAAACATGCGCTTGTGTCAGGTACAGCATCTCACAGCTGTTGCTGAGCAGGTGGTGGAATTGATGACAGCACGAAGTGGGCATTTGTGCCTGCTGTGGACCTGCTGCTCTTGGTCGGTGAGGGCCTGGTTGGCTGCGCTGCGGAAGGCTGCTTTGTTCAATCCGACTCTACAACCACCAGGCCGGAAGTGAAGCCTTTTGCACCCTCTCTTCCTGACATCTGTGCACCTTTCCGAAATTGGTAGTCTCATCGGAAGCTTGCAGGAAGCCTTTTCTGGATGCCCTCAAGAACTGGCGCTCGAGTCTGCGCAAGAGTCGCGAGCAGGGCCAAACCAGCACAGCGGACTCCGCTGTGAAACTTTGGAAGTCAAAGAGGGCCAGTGAAAAGGAGTCGGAAGGAGCCTCCAAGAAGTTGAAAACAGCTCAGGAAAAGGATAAGGAAGGCCCTGAGGAAGGCCAGGCGAAGCTGAACCGCTCACCTACAAAGGTCTTGCTCTTGACAAATGTGGCGCCCTCCAGTGAGTCAGAGGAGGCCATAAAGGCCAGAGTGGAGGAGTGGGTGAAGAAGTTTGGCCGCATCAAGGAGTGCCTGGTCGTCAGGGTACCCGGCGTTCCAGAGGAGGATGCGATCCGAGCCTTCGTGGTCTTCGATACCATTAAGACCTCATCAAAGGCTTATGCATCTCTGAGGGGGCAGGTGATGGATGGGCGGCCTCTGCGAGCCCGCTTCTACGACGAGAAACGCTTCCAGGACGGTGAGCTCTACAAGGTGGGAGCCTCTGAAAAAAAGCTTCCATACTGGAAGCATCTTGAACTGCACCCTACTTCCTGCATTCCAAATCCATCTCCCATCCTTGGTCTCAAAATCTCTAAAGTCTGAATTGGCTGCGCGCAGAAAGCTAAATTAGCCAACCTCAGGCCATCCCGTCGCCCACGCTGGTGCTCACGAGCATGGTTCGCCCTGAAGAGGTGGATGGCGGCCTCCAGGCATTGCAGCCAGCCTTCACCACTTTCTAAAGCCTAAAGCTGTGCAGATACAATTTCAGAGGGTCCTGGAGTTGTATTTCGCCAGTGAAGCAGCTTGACCTCAAAAGCCCAAAAGGACGAAGTGGAATACCTGGCTAAGCAACACGGCAAGCTATGTCGGTGCGTCATCAAAACTTTATCTGACCTTCCGGCAGAGGCGTGGGCTTGTGTGGGGGTGAGGTACTGCTCTTTGCATGGTTCCGTCTTGAGTTCTGGCTGGTTGCAGGAGTCTGTGCGAATCTTTCTGGAGTTCAGCACTGTGGACGAGGCCGTGAAAGCGCAAGCTGCGCTTCATGGCCAGGACTTTGGTGCGCGTCGCATCAAGGCGAGATACTTCAACGAGCCCCGGCTGCCTGGCGAGTAGCAGCGTAACATCTTGCAGACCCCGACCGCAACCGCAACCTCAAGCATTGCAGCGGGCTCGAGACACGCTCCAAACGTTCGCGGAGAACGTGCGGATCAGCTCGAGGCCGCAGATTCTTGGTGCCGCTGAGAAAGGATTGCGCGAGAGAGAAGGAGTTCCCAAGCACCACCTCGCAGGGCACGCCTGAGCTGTGTGAGAGCGAACCTGGCATCATGATCTCAGGGCTGCCACCGTCAGGGCAGACCACGACAGTGAGCCATCCCGTATTTTCTCACATTTTCACTTGTTCGATGCATTGTTCCCAGAGCAAACGCCCGCATCAAGAACGATTGGTGTGTTACTGTGCTTGTCCTCCTGTTCACATTAGTCTACGGCTTGCCAAAGGATGGTACGTTTTGAGCACAAGCATTGATTCCTATCAAGCAACGCATGATAGCGGATAGCGCTCGCACCAGTTTGAAAAGCGCACAGTTCATACCCAAGTTCCCGCACGTGTGATGGCCGCTGTCGCTGGATGTGGCTCTGAGTGGATTTGTGTGTATGTGCGTTTTACAGACGGAGTGCACACGTTAGACCAGCATTACAGACAACAGAGCAAACCCAGAAATCTTGCATTCCCATCTTAAGTCCCCTTAGCCGGCGCTGTCGGAGCCATGCAGGCCCAGCGTTACACGGGTTCCACTGTGAGGCCTCTCCCCAACCGCCGTGACCTTCGAAAGTACGCCCGGCTCTTCGTAAAGACGGATCAGGATGGAGATGGCTTCGTCAGCAGTGATGAGGCCTACTCCCTGTTCACAAGGTCGCATCTGCCAGAGGACGCTCTGCAGCAAATTTGGGCCCTTTCCAATGTCAGTGCCAGTGGCATGCTGAGCTTCACGGAGTTCATTGCTGCCATGCACTTGATTCGAGAAGCGCGCCAAAGCCAACAGAGCCCTTCAGCCATCTCACCAGACCTTTCTGCCTTCCTTGGCAGCTTCTCGGAGTCTCCGCAAGACTTGTCGACGGAAGGCTCCTCGCAGTCGGCCCGTGCCCTGCAAAACTCGCGCTCTCCAAGCCCTGCACCTGTGTCCACGCTGCAGGGCACGTCTAGTCCACACTTTGGACATGCGCCCGCCGAAGATTCTTCTTTTGGTGCACTAGGCGCCAGCGAGCCCTTCTCACAGCCACTGGAGGAGCCTCCAGCAGAGGATGGCAAGAAAAAGAAGGGCAAAAAGAAGGAGAAGAAGGAGAAGTCCGGTGAGGTTTTGCCTTCGCAGCCTTCGCAGGCGGAACCTGAGGCGATACCATGGGACTCTGGGCAGGTCACTGCCGGGGCCCCTGCTGAGCAGGGTGACTTGGGAAGTGCCTGGACTACTTTTGGAGATGCTCAGGAGAATCCTGAAAGCAGCAAGGGGAAGAGGGAGAAGAAAGACAAGAAGGAGAAGAAGGAGAAGGAGTTGGAGAAAGGAGCCAGGGATGAGAAGCAAACCAGGTTTCAGCTCGATGCAGATGTCGCCCCATCCTGGCCATCTGACAAGGGCGGATGGTCCAGCCCTTCCCGCACTGACACTGCTACCCCTGCGCCACAGACTAGCTTCGGCATAGGAAGTGGCTTTAGCCACAGCAGCCAAGCTAGCCAGCCTCAGACAAGGATGGGCTTGCGCTTTGACCTAGATTTTGGCAAGGATGCAGATCCAGACTACAAGGCGAGGCTCCAAGAGATTCTGGACCTGCGGCAGTCCACTTCCCCTCCAGCCACCTCGCCCAGAAAGAAGGAACCTGTGCGATGGGCTGGACGGCGCAACGATGGACATTTCGAGGACCGGTACACAGGCGCGTACCGGTATGTGGGAGACTACTCGAGCCCTGCGCTACAGGTTGCGCTGATGGGCTTTCGGTCTTCAGCTCAAGGACCAGCAGTGTTGCCACAGCCTGGGCGGCCCTTCTTGAAGAGTCTGACCCCTCATTTTGCTGCGCACTCTTCGCATTCAAAGGATGTCCTGGAGGGGGTCGATTCAATGACTCGAAGTCTGCGACGCTTGACTTTTGTGCCCATGACTGCTGCCTGAACAGGCACAGCATTTTGGGACGCTTTGCCTGAGCTGTGCGCTGCGTGATTGTAGAGCTAGCGCGTAGTGCAGCAGATTGGGCCGGCACAGTCTCGTATTCTCCACAGATCGTTTCACCTCTTAGGTTCTGTAAATGCACCCCAAGCAAGTAGTGCTCTATGAGGAGAGGATGGCAAGTCTTCTGACTTAACTTGAGAACTTCTTTGCATTTTGCGCTACTTGCTTGCTTTGTCAATGCGGCGAGCGATGCTTTAAGCGACCGCTCATGACTCGACACCATGGCAGACAGACGGGGACACGGTTCCTGCCAGGTGGCAAACAGCGGAGTGGAAAAGTGTGGGCTTCTCGTGGAGCACCTTGCGGTAGCCTTGCGGTAGCCTCGTGGTAGGATGGCTACTCCAGCAGCCAGCGCAGTCCGGCTGAGTTGGGACTTTCTATCGCATTCATCGCATTCATGGCTCACAGGCGAATGCCACACAGAACCTAACCACCTTGATACAAACACACCTCGCAGCAGTCAGCATCGGTGAGCGTGGGAAGCTTGCAACCAATCTAGCAGGTCGGCTGACACAATGCCTAAGCAGTTTGGACGGATAGACTTTGCAGACCCTGCATTCCTGTGATTCGAAGGCAGCAGTTCGTGCAGAAGTTGTTCCATGGCGAATGGCGGGGTGCAGTCCTCAAATGAAGACGTTTCAACATCAAGTCTGCTGTGTCAGTGTCCGGGGAAGGAGACATGACGGTGAGAGATGACGTTGTCAAAATGGCTAAGGGGATTGGGTAAACGGGCGTTGCCACCAAACTGTCACTGCTCAGCATTTGCTTGAATTCCTTCGCAATCTCCATGCATGCCTAGGTCTCTTAGTCTCTTGAGGTCATGTTTCCTTGATTTTGATCAAGCCCTAAATGGTAGTTTCCCCAAATAGGGGGACCCGAAGATAGGCCCCCAAATACCATATTCCTTTTTCTGTGACCCTTGCAAAGGTATCCCCAATTCGGGGAAACCCTCAAACCTCATTGAATAAAGGTGCCTGGCGAGCCTGTGCTGGGCCCTGCACCCCGCCTGCGTGTGCCCAGGAGCGGCAAGATTTTTCCCTCTAGGTCAGGTTTAGTGTTTCAAATCCTGAAGCGGGGCCTCTCTCTCTACACATAAACTATATAAACAGAGAATGCATACGCATTCCCACAGCAGCTACATCAGAGAATGTACAGCGGTTCTGTACCTAGGATCACTGAGGACAATCAGGATGTTTCAGGGGAAGGGTTGAGGTTCCAATCATGGCCTAACCCCGGATTGCTGAATCAGCAATTTGCTTCCTTGCCCCCACACACTCTGCTTAAGTTGAAGGTTTGTGGGTACTGTTAGGTCTGTTCATTGCAGGGTGCGCGATGGTCAGGGATGTGAGATGCGAATGAGTCAAGCTCCGCCCACACCCTCTTCTCCTCTTCCGCCCCACTTTTCGCTATTTTGCAATCTTGGCGCTCTGAGAGGACACCTAGAGTAGATGCGCTCGGGCCACAGCATTGAGCCGTCGGCAGGCCTTGCTTGAAGATTTACCCAGTATACCCAGTCACTTGAAAGACAGCGTGGTCAAGGACGGGTTCACACTCAAGCTTTGTCTTGGGTTTGGGCTGTACGCCTCGCTTGAGGTTTCAATGGTGCTTGAATGCAAGAAGTTTGGTGTGAGATGTGGAATAGCATTTCTGCCAAGACCTGTAGTCCTGGGATGTTACTGCGCATGGCTAAGGCTCCTGCAGCCCCCTGCAGGTGGGGCCTTGTTTCCTGTCAGAAAAAGGGGAGTTTAGTTGGTGACGCGCGCGCAGAGCGCCTGGCGATTTGCGCGCGTTTTT